AAAAAAAAAAAAAAAAGGAAACAGCGAAATATAAATGAAATTTGATTTGCACCAAGAAGATTCCTCCGACAGAGGAGATGAACACCTTTGCAAGCTGGTAGCGGATCTCTGACGGGGCCGGTCACTGGAGTCAGGATACATTCTGACGGTCAGTCATATTCTTAAGATATAGATTCATCTTGTGTGGGTTGTAGAGTATCACGCAGGCAAGTAGACATTACCGTGTTTTGAAGCAAAGCTTCATAAGGCAAACGTCAGGGTCTTCAACTATGGTCAAAGCCCGTATCACAATCCGATTGCTGAAGATTGAACTGACGCTATTAAGGGGAAAAAACTGTCAAACATTGTGATGCGGAGTGCTAGCAGTCACTCTCCCTCTGAACTACCCTGCTCTGAGGCTTTGCCAACTACTTACTACAATATGCTATGGTATCCCGGATGACTACTGGGAATGTGATTTAAGAGCAGAGGTAGACGTGAACTCGAATGCAGTTGCGCTACGTGATCGCCAGCATCCCCTAGATGTTATGGAAGCCCTTCTGGTTTCCATTTCCATACAACCAAAAAGTTTGCTAAGGTTAGCGGAACTTTAAAATATGAGTTCAAACTTTATCAGCGCTATGTTTAAATTCTTCCGGACGCTTATGCGCCTGCCACCAAATCCTTCAAGTGGGTCTTGGCCCATGGCATGTCGCCGATCACGTCGCTTGACCAACCAAAAAAATTCAAAGGCGCTCTCTCCAAGAGACATTTAGATCCCAGTTCGTAACGCGTCGTATTCTCTGTAAGCACTGCCCAAAGTCATATTTAACTTCCGCCCCAATGAGCCCACCCAGAACTCTATGTAAGACACACACACTCTCTCTAATTCGGTTGCCGACTTTTGCCCAGACAGCTAAAAATTTCCTTTCGTAAGGCTTTCTTTTCCTTCTTCGGATTCGCTGAACTATACTATGATTGACTGTGCTTGACATTGATGGCTTGCGGAGCTTGCCTAAACCTTGGTCAAGCCAGTAGCAGATACCGTGGGGACATATCAGTCATACAATCGCTGCAGTCCGGCTCTCCACGCACGAAATCTCCATTTCGCCCCTTCGTTGTATGAATATGTAATCGCGTTTGCGAGGCCAACGTACTGTGTGGAGGCCTGAAGAATCTTTAGCCATCGAGGGCTGTAGTCAAGTGACTCGAAAAGACGATTGAGGAGGCCTGGTATCCAGAGTATCACGTATATGATGGGATATCCGTTGAGCAGCATTATTCGACGTATCTCGGAGTAGCTATGAGGCATGGCTCTTTGGGCAGTGTAAGGAATAATTTCAGTCGCAGTTTCTGCCTTAGAGGACATAACGACAGGGCGATGGCCCTCCGACTCTCTATCGGAAATTGTCGACGGTGACGAGTCTAGATAAGTACCAATAATCAGTAATACCCTTGGAAATGGCTAACTCGAATTGGATGTTTTGAGTCCTCAGAGCGCCGACTTAGTGTACAAGCGGAGAAACCCACCAATACCTCGTGTGCCAGCATGTTCGGCTGCGACAGATTCGACTACCACAGTCGTCTCCAGCTCAATCGTCATTACCCCTCCCGGCCCTCTACTCACGTTTACCGTTCTTTGCCCTGAGTTGCTAGCTGCATGGGGAAAGAATGCTATTCCCGCGAAACGGCGCTTGATGATCACGAAGACATAGACATAGATACCCACGGTGGTCAAGATGATGGCAATGCGCCAGCCATGGCCAAGTGCATATCGCAGACCGAGATGCTGCGGCTCGATCCAGCACCAATTTCCACTGACGGGCCCATACAATTTCAATCCAAATCCAATAGTACCTGGCAATGATATTAGTAAGGGTGTGTCAGTTCAGGTCCACCCCACGTACTTGTACACACGGGTACAATCCAAACAGATGAGCAGTACAGTAGCTTCTTAACGTTCGCGTCTGGCGCAGAAACTATCGCCCGTTGATTGATAATCCAGAGCGCGACCAATGCAATAGCCAGCACAGAGAAATCGCCTGCCTAGATTCATGGCTGAGAAGGGCTTCAGTCCGACGAAGTAAAAGTCCTTTACCTGCACCGATAGCTGGCCTATCCAAGCATTCAAAATACATCCGGTGCCCGGCGTCACATCGTGGCCCTCTTTGAGGACTGCCAGCCCGGAAATGGAGTTATTGAGTGCATTGATAAAGTCTGGTCAAGAATGCGCGTGGCCTGCTAGTTAGCTTTGTTGGCGCCGAAGATATAAGGAAATTCCCACCTGCGATGGCCAGGTTCAAAATCAGCCAATGACGAAAGTGCCGTTTCCTCGAGGAAGTGGCATAAGACAGAAGGACCAGTGAAGATGCGATCGTTGACATGACACTTCCAATAAAGGTGGGGACGGCAACTGCATAGTCGACGGCCATCATGCTGTAGTTTGAGAAGGCTATAGACAGAAGGAAATAAAGAGGACAGCTAAATTTCAAAACCTCATTCTACACTCTTGATATAGGGATAGTTTACGAAAGTCAACCGTCTCGTTGTCCTTGTTGCAGTAATCTTGCGCAAAATGTCTAATACTTCTAGCTGACTAAGCTAAACCTTCTTCCCCAATGTCCGAGTAATTTACAGGATCCTAAAGGCTTCGTTTTCTCTGTAATAATGCGTGGATTTATGTTTACGTAAATTAGAGTGTATGGGAACGGCAGAGGGAAGAGGAAGGCACACATACGCACTGACAACCGAACTGAACGGCAGGCAAGCTTTGCAGGTTAGCTGACTGCTGAGTGGGGCAAAAAATAAATAGGAGGAAGAAAATGGAAAACATACTTCGAACACAAACGATTAAACCCCGCAAG